GGCCCTATCACCCTTCCCGATTTAGCTGGAATATTAATTCGACTAAGAACAATGAAAATCATCATAATAGCTGACGTCGAAAAAGCCTTCCTACAATTAGAGTTGCTGCCAACGGAACGGGACTGCACACGCTTTCTATGGGTAAAAGATATTCAGAAACAGGTGGACAGAGATAATTTAATATGCTATCGATTCAAAAGGGTTCCCTTTGGAGTGATATCGTCACCCTTTTTATTATCAGCAACTCTCAATTATCATTTGGAACATTATGAGACTGAAACTGCACGTGAAATCAAGAAGAATCTCTACGTCGACAATATCATCTTATCAGCGAGCCATGAAAAGGAAGCCTTGAATAAATATGAAGAAACAAAATCAGTTTTCAAGGATGCGTCAATGAACGTGCGAGAATTCCTCTCAAATGACCAGACATTCAATGAGCAACTACCCAAGTCAGACCGAGCACGAATGAGTCAAATAAAGAAAATATTAGGGATTAAGTGGAATCCACACAAGGATCATATCCAGATAACATTAAATCCATGGACCGAACAAACAACAACAAAAAGAACTATTCTACGGTTCATCGCCTCACAATACGACCCACTTGGATTCCTAGTACCACTGATAGTACCGTTCAAGATATTTCTCCAAGAACTCTGGAGAAAAAACATACATTGGGATCAACCCCTCGACAATCAATTGATTGAAACCTGGAACAATCTTGTGGTAGAATGCCCAACTCATATCAAGGAAATCCCGCGATTCACAATCGATTTATCACAACAAATTACCTTTCATGTTTTCACCGATGCATCTACAGTGGCATATGCTGCAGTAGTATACGCCCATCAAAATACGCATACGTCGTTACTCTTTGCTAAATCACGATTAGCACCTATTAAAGGAATGACGATACCAAAGCTAGAATTACTAGCTATTCTCATCGGTGTACGCGCAGCTCAGTTTGTCATCAAACAAATGGAATTAGAAAATCCAAAGGTAGTGGTATGGTCGGACTCTCGCTGTGCACTACATTGGATACAAAACAATTCTCGCCTCCTACCAAAATTTATACAGAATCGTGTGGAAGAAATACAAATGGCGAAATTCGCATATCGGTATATCCCAAGCGAACACAATCCAGCAGACATTGCTACCAGAGGAACCTTTCCGACTCGTCTAATAAGTTACGAGCCTTGGTGGAGCGGGCCCACATGGATCAATGGTAATGAACCGAATTGGCCTCATTGGGAATACGACGTTCCACAAGAAGAGGATAACGAAGAAGATAAGAATATAGTAGCAACAACAACCACAGAAGAAATCATCAATACAAATCGAATCAATCTCCTGGAGGCAAAACGATTCAGTAAATGGACAAAGATGATAAGAACAACAGTAAGAATACTAAAATTTCTCAAAAAATTATCTAAAGGAAAATTAACCTGGTTAAGCAGCGTATCAGAAAGGAATCCGATTACACCCGAGGATTACAATCTCGCTGCGGAACTACTAATAAAACAATCCCAATCGGAAGGTATAACAGCAGAAGAAGTGGAAAAGTACAATCTGCACTATGCAGACAGGTACTGGAGATTCCAAAGCAGACTACAATTGCCGAACGACAGGGAATACTCATCCCAAACAATATATCTCCCCAGACACAATCGAATAACAGAACTAATTATTCAACACCACCACGAAACGACGCATCATGGAGGTATCCCTCAAACTATTTCCAGAATAAGAAAGCTTTACTGGATTCCGAAAGGAAGGGCTGAAGTCAAGAAGGTGTTAAACCGCTGTATGAGTTGCAAACGCTGGAAAGCCAAGCCATTCAAATTGCCACCTATGCCAAATTATCCGCAAGAGCGGATCACTGAATCAAGAACGTTTGGACGAATTGGCCTCGACTATTTGGGGCCGATTACTGTGAAGATACAATTGGAAAAAGCAAAGCGATGGATCGCCTTGTTCACATGCTTCACCACCAGAGCGGTACATTTGGAAATGGTGGACGATCTATCAGCGGAAAGTTTCCTAACTGCATTAAGAAGATTTGTTGCGCGACGCGGCTATCCCGAACTCATTCTTTCGGACAATGCCACCCAATTTCAGGCAGTTTTTCAAGCCATAAAAACGCAAGAATCACAACTCTCTAATTTCCTTGCTGAGAAAGGAATCAAATGTAAGACTATAACACCGAGAGCACCATGGAGCGGCGGAATCTACGAAAGATTAATCGGCCTAACAAAAAGGAGTTTAAGAAGAGCTATCGGTAGACGACTGCTTAAGGAAGGGGAACTAATCACACTGATTATCGAAGTGGAAAGCATTCTTAATACTCGCCCCTTAACTTACGTAAATTTCGACGACTCAATTATTTTGCGACCAATAGACTTCATCATTCCCAATGCTTCTTTGTCTATACTGAATAGCAATAACGACAGAGAAGACGAATTCTCACCTTATAGTCTAACCACACAAGAAAGGTTACTTCAACACTGGTCGAATACCCTAGAAACATTGAAAACATTTTGGGAGATATGGAAAGACGAATACTTGAATAGCTTAAAGGATCGATACCAATTAGAACATAAATCTCCAAGAAATGTAGAAAAGAGACAGCCGATAGAAGAAGTGGTACTGTTAAATGAGCCTCATGCACCACGTGGTACATGGAAACTAGCAAGGATAAAGAAATTAAACGTAGCCAATGATGGGTACGTCAGGAGCGCTCAGATCGAAACATCGTCAGGAAAACTTCTAAATCGACCTGTAAGCACGTTGTATCCACTTGAAGTTACTCCAGAAGAACAGTCTACTCCGGAGAACCCCGCGAACCCATCAGAGAGAGCAGAACCAATTATCCAAAACCGAAACACCACAACTAACACGAAGATTTCGAGTGAAAGTGGTGAGGAGCAACCTATTGCTCATCGAACACGGAGCCAGACAAATTTACAAAAAAGGGAGAAGTCAAATTTCGTTTTAACCAACTTACTGTTAACAGTAGCAATATCGATAATTCTACAAGCAGCAGAAACGAAGGAATGCAAATGGACATCAGGTGTTCCATTTAACATGCCTCAGAAATGGAATTGCAAAACAATTGAAACTCGTAACGCCACACCGATTCGAATTACAGTCTACACGCATGTTCATGTGAAAATACCTACCACCATCCCTTTACATTTAATTCAAACTTGTACTACCCATAATCAAGGTTTAGAAAGTGTTGAAGATCACAATGTTTTATCCTATAAACCCCAAATCTATCCATTAGAATACTTTTCGCTCTTCCCTCGGGAGTGTCGAGAACAAGCTCGAAATTCCACTAGAAATAATCTTTGTACCGAACAATCGAATTTAGCAAAGGGTCAAATTTAAATCAATGTATTTATATTTAAGCAAATCATGTTAATCATTTATTGTAAGTTTTATTGTAATTCAAATTCTTTAATGACTCATAGATGGTAATGTGTTAACAAATTCCCATGCTAATCTGTCATATTATCTAATGCACATCTTTCCAATCCTTTGTTTGTTATCTAATTCCGTTTACAAAAACTATCTTTCCCATAGCCTTCCTCCTAGCTTCCATTGTATCAATCGCTTTATCTCTCCACCCTCAAATCATGCTATATAAGGGCAATTACCACTCAACCGGAGCATTGTTCCAGAAGTCTTCCCGTTGCTTAGCTCATCCTCCTCACTAAATTGTCAAACTACTGATTGCTTGTTTGGTTTAATTACCCAAGATAAAGCACTCGACTCAATTGTGCAAGTAAACCAACCCAATTCAATCCATTCACAACACCAATCCAATCCAACATTCACAACAGTTATTGGTTGTTCAGGTGCTGATTATACTGATTACACGATGAGTGATTGGCAAAAAAATTGTGTTAGAGTAACTCGTAACGGCAAGCAAATAATTATAGGTTCAAGCATGAGACGGTGCCTGATGTTGCTCACTGCTCTCCAACTTTCAGAAAGAATTGCAGCACTAATTGGTGTATCGTCTGCTTCTGACTTTACTGAAGATTTAATATTCTATCAGTTATCCGAAAGCAAAAAGAAGAATTAGATTCTAAAGGAGTAATAGATTTTACTTCTGAGCATTAAATATACAAAATAACTAAAAGCTTGGTATAGAAGATGAAGATGGCAAAAAAAGCTTCTTTTAAATAAAGAGACCATAGATATATAAACTGCCCTGTGCGTTTATTGACGATAATGCTATATTCCTTACCAACTTCGTTAAATTTAGTCAAGAAGTTGAGGTGCATCTGATGAAGACAGTAGGTTGAGAACATAACAATCGGTTCATTGGAATTTTTACTTCGGATGATTTGCAAGGCAACATTTTATTTGGGAGAGCGACCAGAACCGAACTAGACGCACTCAGTGCGCTGATGCCCTACCAATTGAGCCACACCCACTCGATTTATTCAGAGAGCCTTTTCAGGCTATGTAATTGCACATTAGTTTGGTATTCATTCATCGTAATGCAGGGAGGATTTTTTTGGGAAGAGCGAGCAGAACCAAACTAGCCGCACTCAGTACCATAAGCCGACGCTCTACCAACTGAGCTACACCAACCAAAGTGATGTGTCTCTCATACATAAATACAAAAAGAAAGCAGCAAAAAAAGTCAGTTGATTATTTAAGCAATTGACTATTGACTCCTTTACTTCAGACTATGTTGTTCCCCTGATAAAACAGTTGCAGAAGCAATTTCATTATTGAAAAAGCTTCTGGTATTCCTGTGATTGATCAATGCAAGTTAGTCAAAGTTTTAAGTAACAGAGATATAAGGTTTATTGATGGTTAAAAAAATCAGAAAAAAGTATAAAAGTCCCCGAGGTAATGACAAAAGAGAAGTTAGTTACAATACGGGAGCGCTTCAGCAATGAAACTATTGCATGAGAATAGAATAGAAAAGCTTTTGGTCATAGATGAAAACTCCTACTCTATAGATTTGATCACAGTTAGACATTAAGAAATACAATAGATACTCTAATTCATGTAATGATACTTAAGGGCGACTCAGAGTTGCCGCTGCAGTTGGTACTGGTAAAAAGGATGGTATAGAAAGATGTGAAACTATGGTCAGAGAAGAGATTGACGTAATTAATGTTGATGCAGGAGTTGATGCAATGAAGATTAGAATAGAACCTAGATCAACTTGCACAACCAAAGTAGTGAGTGTAGGTGTGCCACAATTTTCTGCAATTCAAAACGTTGCAAAAATATGTAAAGCAAGAAAAGTAAGATTGACTGTCAAATTTTAATTTAATTAAGTGTAAAAACTATTAAAAAAATAGCAATTCATATTAAAAAAATAGAAAATTAGAAACTAATTTAATATTTTATATGCATAGTGCGGGAACTGGTCACATACATTGTGGTCATTTGACGTCATAAATAATAAAATAGACATCAATAATTTGGTTTTGAACAATATTTCGATAGCAAAATTAATTAAATTTTTAATTTATCACGGTTTTAAATCATTTCTTACAATTGAAACTAAGTTTTATTTCAATGAAAATCCCACAATTTGTAAGAGTTTTTGCATATTGAACTAGGAAAAAAGTCCTACTATCATCAAATTTTATTTTAATTGAAATTAAAACTATTAAAAAATAGTAATTCATTCAAAAAGATATTTGCTTTCAGCTTAATTGAATAATTTTTATGCATTGCATGGGTACTGGTCACGTACATTGTGGTCATTTGACCAGCATAAATAATGAAATAAACATTGATAATTGAGTTTTTTATAAATATTTGACAAGTGAAATTAATTAAATTTTTAATTTGCCACTGTTCTAATTCATTCTTACAATTGAAATTAATTTTTATTTCAAACTTAAATATCAAATTTTCTGAAAATTCATTAATTTACTAGAATTTTGTATATTAATCTACAAAAAAAAAAAATGGTAGTAAATATCAAAAACTAGTTTTAAAAAAAATGTTAGAATATTGAAAAATATCAGTTCATTAAAAAAAAAATGGTTATTTTGAACTTAATTGATTAATTTGTGTGCATTGCATAGGTACTGATCGCATACACTGTGATCATTTGAACAGCAAAAATAATAAAATCAAGTCTAGAAATTGAGTTCTGAATGATATTTTAGGAGCAAAATTAATTAAACTTTAAATTTGCCACTGTTCTAAATAATTCTTGCAATTGAAATTAATTTTTATTTCAAATTTAAATAACACATTTACAAAAATCCCATAATTTATACGGGTATTTGCATATAAAACTAGGTAAGAAGTTCTACTATTATCAAAATTTAATTTCAAAGGATGTTAAAACTATTAAAAAATATCATTTAATAAAAAAAAAAAAATGATTATTATATACGCATAGTGCGGGAACTGGTCACATACATTGTGGTCATTTGACATCTTAAATAATAAAATAATGCTTAGGCTTAGGCTTAGGGTATACTTAGGCTTAGGCTTAAGCATTATTTCAAATCTAAAAATCAATTTTGGTGAAAATTTTATAATTTGCAACAGTTTTTGTATATTAAACGAGGAAATAATTTCTAGTTTTATCAATATTGATTTTAATTAAATGTTAAAATATCGAAAATCATCAATTAATTAAAAAAAATGGATATTTTGAACTAAATTGATTAATTTGTGTGCATTGCATAGGTACTGGTCACACACATTGTGGTCATTTGATCAGCATAAATAATTAAATAGACATCAATAATTTGGTTTTGAACAATATTTCGGTAGCAAAATTAATTAAATTTTTAATTTATCACGGTTTTAAATCATTTCTTACAATTGAAACTAAGTTTTATTTCAATGAAAATCCCACAATTTGTAAGAGTTTTTGCATATTGAACTAGGAAAAAAGTCCTACTATCATCAAATTTTATTTTAATTGAAATCAAAACTATTAAAAAATAGTAATTCATTCAAAAAGATATTTGCTTTCAGCTTAATTGAATAATTTTTATGCATTGCATGGGTACTGGTCACGTACATTGTGGTCATTTGACCAGCATAAATAATGAAATAAACATTGATAATTGAGTTTTTTATAAATATTTGACAAGTGAAATTAATAAAATTTTTAATTTGTCCTATATTTAATTCATTTCTGCAGCTAAAATTAATTTTTATTTCAAATTTAAATATCAAATTTTCTGAAAATTCATTAATTTACTAGAATTTTGTATATTAATCTACAAAAAAAAAAAAAATGGTAGTAAATATCAAAAACTAGTTTTAAAAAAAATGTTAGAATATTGAAAAATATCAGTTCATTAAAAAAAAAATGGTTATTTTGAACTTAATTGATTAATTTGTGTGCATTGCATAGGTACTGGTCGCATACATTGTGGTCATTTGACCAGCATAAATATTTAAATAAACTTTTATAATTAAGTTTTAATCAATATTTGATTAGCAAAACGAATTCAATTTTAAATTAGTGACGGTTTTAATTCATTCTCACAATTATAATAAATTTTTGTTTCAAATATGAAATTTAGATTTTGTGAAAATTCATTAATTTATTAGAATTTTGCATATTAATCTACAAAATAAATTTTAGCAATATCAAAAAGTAATTTTAATTAAATGACAAAATATTGAAAAATTTCAATTCCTTAAAACAAATAGATATTTTGAACTTAATTGATTAATTTACATGCATTGCATGGATACTGGTCACATACATTGTGGTCGTTTGACCAGCAAAAATAATAAAATCAAGTTTAGAAATTGAGTTTTGATTAAAATTTCAGTTGCGAAAATAATAAAATTTTTAATTAGTCATCGATCTAATTCATTTTTGCATTTAATGCTAATTTTTAATTCAAATTTAAAATTGATTTTTGCGAAAATTCTATAATTTGTAAGAATTTTTGCGTAATAAACTGGGAAAAAACCCTGCTATTATCAAATTTAATCTTAATTAAATGTTAAAATATTAAATAATATCAAATCATTAAAATGTTAAAATATTAAATAATATCAAATCATCAAAAACTAATTTTAATTAAATTTAAAGTATTAAAAAATCTCAAATCATTAAAGAAATAGATATTTTGTACTTAATTGATTGAATTTTATGCGTTGCAAGGTACTGGTCACACACAGCGTGGTCATTTGACAAGCAAAAATAATAAAATAAACTTTAGAAATTAAGTTTTAATCAATATTTTATTAGCAAAATTAATTAAATTTTTAATTTTTCACGATTTTAATTCATTCTTACGATTAAAATTAATTTATATTTCAAATTTAAATAATACATTTATAAAAATCCCATAATTTGTACGGGTGTTTTGCATACTAAACTAGGTAAGAAGTCCTACTATTATCAAAATTTAATTTCAAAGGATGTTAAAAGTATTAAAAAATATCATTTAATAAAAAAAAAAATTGATTATTACATACGCATAGTGCGGGAACTGGTTACATACATTGTTGTCATTTGACATCTTAAATAATAAAATAATGCTTAGGCTTAGGGTATACTTAGGCTTAGGCTTAAGCATTATTTCAAATCTAAAAATCAATTTTGGTGAAAATTTTATAATTTGCAAGAGTTTTTGTATATTAAACGGGAAAATAATTTCTAGTTTTCTCAATTTTCATTTTAATTAAATGTTGAAACTATTAAAAAATATCAATTCATTAAAAAAAGTTAGATATTTTGAACTTAATTGATTAATTTATAAGCGTTGCATAGATACTGGTCACACACATTGTGGCCATTTGATCAGCATAAATAATTAAATAAACTTTAAGAATTGAGTTTTGATTAAAGTTTCACTTGTGAAAATAATAAAATTTTTAATTAGTCATAGATCTAATTCATTTTTACAATTAATGCTAATTTTAATTCAAATTTAAAATTGATTTTTATGAAAATTCAATAATTTGTCAACTTAATTGATTTATTTGTGTGCATTGCATAGGTACTGGTCGCATACATAGTGGTCATTTGACCAGCAAAAATAATATAATCAAGTTTAGAAATTAAGTTTTAATCGATATTTGAATAGCAAAACTAATTAAATTTTTAATTTTTGACGGTTTTAATTCATTCTCACAATTATAATTCATTTCTATTTCAAATTTAAAATTTAAATTTTATGAAAATTCATTAATTTACTAGAATTTTGCATATTAATCTACAAAATAAATTGTAGTAAATATCAAAAACTAATTTTAAATAATTGTTAAAATATTACAAAATATCAATTAATTAAAAAAAATAGATATTTTTTACTTAATTGATTGAATTTTATGCGTTGCAAGGTACTGGTCACACATGGTGAAAGGGGATTAAGCATTATTTCAAAGGCTTAGGATTAAGCATTATTTCAAATCTAAAAATCAAAATTGGTGAAAATTTTATAATTTGCAAGAGTTTTTGTATATTAAACGTGGAAATAACTTCTAGTTTTATCAATTCTGATTTTAATTAAATGTTAAAATATCGAAAATTATCAATTAATTAAAAAAAATGGATATTTTGAACTAAATTGATTAATTTGTGTGCATTGCATAGGTACTGATCGCATACATTGTGATCATTTGAACAGCAAAAATAATAAAATCAAGTTTAGAAATTGAGTTCTGAATGATATTTTAGAAGCAAAATTAATTAAATTTTAATTTGCCACTGTTCTAATTCATTCTTACAATTGAAATTAATTTTTATTTCAAATCTAAATATCAAATTTTATGAAAATTCAATAATTTGTTAGGTTTTTGTATACTAAACCATAAAATAAATATAAAACTAAACTATAAAATAAATATAAAACTACTAAACTATAAAATAAATTGTCAAAATTTAATTTAATTAAATGTCAGAAGATCAATTCATAAAAAAAATTAGATAATTTGAACTTAATTGATTATTTTTTATTCATTTCATGGATACTGGTCATTTACGGTTGGTCATTTGGTCAGCATAAATAATTAAATAAACTTTGAAAATTAAGTTTTAATCAATATTTGATTAGCGAAATTGATTAAATTTTTAATTTATCACGGTTTTAATTCATTCTTACAATTGAAATTAATTTTTACTTCGAATCTAAATATCAAATTTTATGAATATTCAATAATTTGTTAAGATTTTATATATTAAACTATAAAATAAATTCTAGCAATATCAAAAATCATTTTAATTAAATGCTAAAATATTTAAAAATATCAATTCCTTAAAACAAATTGATATTTTGAGCTTAATTGATTAATTTATAAGCGTTGCATAAGT